TGAATTCAAAGCCAGCCTCAGCAAAAGGAAGGAGGATGTGAAGTTCAAAGCCAACCTCAGCAATTTACTGAGGCCCTAAGCAACTCCATAAATAAAAAGCAACTCTATAAATAAAAATTCAAAATAGAGCTGGGGATGTGGCTCAGTGGTTGAATGTCCCAGAGTTCAATCCCCCATTACCCGCCCCCCCCAAAAAACCCCACTGAAATTAGCAACCATAGCCAGTTTGGTGGAGAGATTAAAGCCAGACTAGAGTAGACTGGAGAGGAAAATGAATAGAGCTACATATATCATTATAGGTAAATCTTGGAAACAAGAGCCAATACTTGCAAAATCCTTGAAAGTTGCAGAATCTGGGCCTGAATTTGCAATCCCCCATCCTCATTTCAGCCTCTTGAGTAGCTGGGATCATTTACTACTATGCAAATTTATTAAAAGCATCACTTCATGCCCAGGAATTATAAATACCAGTTGATAGCTGGTATTCTTGAGAGAAATAACACTAAGGGCACATAGATCTTTATAATGACCAATTTCCTCATTGCCCCCCCCCCAAAAAAAAAGCTAAGGTCAAAGTACTCAGGGTCTCAGGCATACTGAGCATGCACTTTACCCTTGAGTTCCATTCCCAGCCCTGCTTTTCAGCTGATTCAAGAAGTAATTAAGCCAGAAACCAGATGAGGTCTGTCTCCCATGGTGTCCTGTCCAACACTGGCTACCCTGACCCCCGCTTTCCCTGCTGCCCACCAAGGGCTTAATAAAGCTAGGTCAGTCCCATATGGGAGACAGGTTAGGGCATCTTTGTCAGACTCCATCTGCTGACACATGATAGGGTTTGGACTGCTGTCCCTTTTAAGGGCATTGCAGACTCACTCTCTCCAGGGGTGTCCTGCCACCTGGACCTCCAGCTTCTCTGTCCATCTTCCCTGGAGAAGCCTAAACCAAGTATGACTAAAGCTTTTCAGCACTACTCCTAGGTTCAGCTAGTCACTTCCTCTCTACAGCAAACACCATCTCCACCATCTTAGCCTACAGAACCAGCCTGAGGGGGCTGGGAGAAAAAAATTGACACAGTGAGCAAGCAACAGCTTCTAGCCAGAAACCCCTGCTCCGAGAGCCCATCTTTCTTCATCTTTCCCATTGATGGCTTTCGGCTCGACCCTTCCAGTCTCCCATGGGGGCAGAATTCTATGAGCCCAAATCACAGATCTTTCCCTGTTTTACATTGCTAATAATGGATGTTAATATTGAATCCTTCAGCATCTTTTCCAATGAATTAGAATGGCTTTCTCATAGTTTATTTTAGAAAGATGTTCAATATACTAAAGCAAACAAACAAAAAAAGTAATTGAAGAAATTAGTGAATGGTAGAAAAATTGGGCAACTAGTACCTCCAGATGGGAATAATACCATAAACACTAATAGCATTTATGGCACAAGAATGAATTGAACAAGCTATTTCTCTTAAGTCTAAATTTCTTAGAATCATTCTGACAGTCCAACTCACTTTATTATTTTTGAGACTCCCATATAGGTCTACTTTTAAAAACTTATGTATTCATAAGCTAATTCTTTTTACCTTCCAGTTTGCTCACAACAGTCTACCTTTGTGTGCTTAATGTTTGCTCTGTAGTCAGTTGGATGTTGTGGCACATGCCTATAATCTTGATATTTGGGAGGCTGAAGTAGAAGGATCTCCAGGTCAAGTCCTGCCTCAGCAATTTAGGCAGATACTCTCAAAAAGGGATTGGGATAGAACATCTCTAGGTTCAACTCTCAGTATTATCCCAGTATGGTACTTGGGGTGGTGGATCTGCTAATGATTTAACAACTGAGGAAGAAATTAGAAGTGAAAAACTTTCAGTTAATTTGTCTTCTTTGAAGATGCAGGTCCTAATGGCATAATTTTTTGTTATTATACTAGATGTGAAGCTGTTTTATACATCCACAATGCATGGGCTAGCCCTTCTACAACTTATTTGAAATAGGGTCTTGCAAAATTAAATTGCCCAGGCTGAACCTGTGACCCTCCCGCCTTAGCCTCCCAAGTTGTTGGAATTAGAGATGTGTACCACCATAACTTCTTACAAGAGGTAGAGTTTGAGATTTTAAGTAGGGAATTATGGCATGAAAAATTTTCACCTGAAGATGTTTTTTTTTTTTTTTAAAAGAGAGAATTTTTAATGTTTTATTGTTTAGTTCTCAGCAGACACAACATCTTTGTTGGTATGTGGTGCTGAGGATCCAACCCGGGCCGCACGCATGTCAGGCGAGCGCGCTACTGCTTGAGCCACATCCCCAGCCTGAAGATGGTCTTAAAATTAATAAATTATGGGGATATGGTTGTAGTTCAGTGGTAGAGCACTTGCTTAGCATGTGTGAACACTGGGTTCGATCCTTGATACCACATAAAAACAAATAAAGGTATAAAAAATACAATAACATTACAAAATTAATAATTTACTAGAGCCTTTTTGGGTAGAGGAGATGGGGGAAAAGAGACCAAACACTCATTGATTCATCCAACAAGAAGCCATAACTTTATTAATGATAGAAACAGTACAAATTTCAAACCAAGCTGCAGTTATCCTTTTGAAACACCAGAAAAAGGTCCTGGCTTTCAGATGGTTACATTGTTAATTCCTATAAGAGAAAAAACATAAGGTGGTTACAGGCAAAGCAGGAGAAGATGGTTATTAAAACCTAAGGCAATTAACAATAGGATTTGGAATAATGCTTTATATATAGCCGATACTAAACAGAGAAAAATTATTTTTCACTGGTTAGGGCAGAGGGAAGCCAGGAAAAAAGATTTGGTCACTTACCATTATAGCATTTACAATATCATTACTGTTGTTCTTTAGGGCTCGGACCGCCTTTGCTCTTGACACATTTGCTTGTGACATGACCAATTCTATATCCTTAACTTCCACACCTGTTTCATCAACCTAAAAGATGAGAGGGGAAAACAAAAAACCTTAATAAATTACAGATAACAACAACTTAGTACTTCTTTGGTGCCAGAGTCCCTTGAATTTAGTTCTAGGTGTAAACAGGTATAAATAATGGGGGTTGAATGCCTAAAACAATAATCTACCAACAGCAAACATACCACTATTCAGAGAGGATTACAAATAGAAAAAGATTTCCTGGCATACCTCTTCCTCTTCACTCTCTTCTTGTACAGTTGGAGTCTGTGTGTTTTCTTGAATGTTTGAGACCGCTTCACCTTGAACTTTGAATTTCTCAGCAGCTGCTAACTGTGCTTGCTGAGATAAATCTTCAATCTACAAAGAAAGACAACAGAGATGTCAATAAATTAGTTTGCCATAAATGAAAAAAATCACATATCCTTTTGAAACCTTTTCAATACTCTCATTCTAAATCTATTTCAGGGAAGTTAGAGTAATATAACTGTAAACTGCTTGCCCTAAGACTATAACTGTAGAAAGAAAAGTAGTTTAGATCTAGGTCTTAATTATGCCTCCCAGGGGACATCTGGCAATGTCTAGAACAAAGAATTATCTGACCTGAAATATCAACAGTGTTGATCGAGTGCAACTCAAGAAAACTTAACTCACCTTGGCTTCCCCAAAAACTATGTAGGTATCTGAAGCTGGACTCTTATAGACATCTGGTTTTGTGATGACAAAGAGGATATTCTTAGATTTTCGGATAGTGACTCTAGTAACCCCCGTAACCTGTCGAAGACCTAGCTTGGACATAGCCTGAAAAATAGAAAAGAACATTAAAATTTCAACTTTAGAATCAGCTTCATAAAGCAAGAAATGCAACAATACCATATCCAAAGCAGACTCATGGGTTAAGAAAAAGATGTAAAAGGGGAAGGTGCCATGGTGTGTACCAGTAATCCTAGTGGCTCAGGAGGGCTCTAAGCAACTCTGTCTCTATTAATACAAAAAAGAGCTGGGGATATGGCTCAGTGGTTAAGTGTCTCTGGGTTCCAACCCAAGTTAAAAAAAAAAGAAAAGATGGTGTTCTAAAAAATTACACATCAGAACTTTAATCCTTGTTTATAACTTAACATCTTACCTTCCGTGCCTTCTTTTCACTCCGACTCTGTTTTGCTTTACTGACTGGTTCTTCATCGATTTCAGCTGCAGCTGCCAGCTATAAAGATAAAACAACTAAATTAAATAGAACCCAAGATCTGGATACCACAACCTCTGTGTGATTTTCCCTTTATTCCAGATACAATAGTCAGCCCCGATCAATTCTGGTTCTCCAGTGCTTCCTTGACCCCAGTGTTTACACCAGTCAAGAAGGGAATACTCACCTGTGCTTGTTGGGTGGTTGCTTGTGTGGAATCTTGTTCTTCAAGTTCTGGTACAGATTCATCACTGTCAGATTCTGTTCCAGAACCTAAGATGACAAACAACTTTTATTACTTTTATAGTAAAAATTTTAAGGAGGTTGTACCCTCACTAAGGCCTGCTTGGACTAGAGGTCACCACTTTAATGCTAGGCCTTACAAAGTGAAATGTTTAAAGCCAGTTTGGGAGCCAACTTACTAGTTAAACTAGTGTGTACACATCTATTAAAGACCCACCCCCAGAAATGAGGGATAACTGAAAGATACAATTTATATAGTATAATTATTCTCTTTCCCTTAAGGTCTTCATTTCTTGGCACAAATAACCAAGCATCTGAAATAACTCCAAATTTTACCCTATATTCCATCTACCATCCACCCCAGAAAGGTTTTGTCTAAAGGGATCTCCACACACACTTAAGTGGGGGGAAAATAATAAAAAATAAATAAATCACATTATGCAGGGAGAAAAGGCAAGGCACTTTTCCTTTATCCTTTAAACCTATGGAGGAGGCCAGAAGCAGTTGTGTACACACATTTGGCCTATTTTCAAATCATTCACCCTAGTAATTTGGTCTAATCAATATTGCTAGAAGATTTTCAATGATGCCAAGCCACCTTCTCTACTAGATATTGCCCTGTGATGTCTCCATTTCTTCTGAACATAATTCACATATTGAAAGGCCCAGCATGGATAAAGACTACCAAGGGAAAAAAAAGCAATATACCTGGCACCATTCTTAGGCTAGGAAACAGAGTTATCTATTTTTTGAAGAAAAGCAAGTCCCTGGGCAAGTGGTCATTACTAAGAAATAAAAAGAAATACAATAGCTCCAAATTTCCCAATATTTTAGCAAATCCCAGGCCCAGGGACAGGTTAGTGATGTGATAAGGATTAGAGCAAATTAACAGTCCAGCAGGTCTTGGTTTCCAATGTCAGATCAGTTGTATTATCTGACGTGATGAAAACCAAGAATTAGTTGTGTATTCCTAGAGCTTTTGCACTTGAAAGGATCATTCTAAGTCTACATCCAAACTCAAGCAGATTGACTGGAGAAAGTGGCGCATCCTAGTGTTAGTATCGATAGGAGTTCCCAAGAGGGGTGTGGGCAACACACCATGCACACAGCAAACCAAGGCAAATACCCTTGTTGTTCTTCAGAACAGGTTGCTTGGCAGAGGGGGTTGGGGCAGGGATCCCAGCAGGTTTGGGGGTGGGCATGTCGACAAGGACGGACTGGAAAGGCACTCCCCCAGATATTGGTTCCGGGGGAATCAGAGGCGGCAGCTCATCCTCATCATCAGGGGCTAGGGGCTTAGAGGGTGATTCCAGCACCAGCCCAGGTGAGGTCGGCAGAAACTGTTGTTTAGGAAGCAGAGGGGGAACTGGGGAAGGAGCAAGAGGCAGAGAGACTGGTGGGGTGGTTGCTGGAGACACAGATGTTGATCCAGCTATAGGAAGGACCTTCTCAGAGGCAACTCCTGCTAGAGGGGTAGATATCTTAGACCCAGGGGAATGAAAAGGATCTTTGCTTTTTGTAGGAGAAACAGGGATTGTCAGTAGAGGAGCTGGTGTCACTGTAGAAAGGGATCCTTTAGTATCATTCTTAGTTGAGGGATCTGAGCACTTAGGCAAAGCTGCAGAATTCTTCTTGGTTCCTGGGCCTTTCTGAGTGGGAACTGTGGTGACTTGTTCATTTTCTGGAGATGAGACCACAAGTACTTCTTTGAGAGCCTTGGGGCCTTTCTTTGCTGGGACACCTTCAGATGCCTCAGGAGTAAGGGCCCCCATGGTACATATTACTGACACTGGGGAAGCAGGGGACCCTTTGGGGGAGGGAGGAACAATGCCTGGGAGAATGGGGGACTCTTTAGGGAAAACATTTACAGCTTGCAGAGTGGGACTGCCTTTGGAGGATGGGGTAGCTAGGGCCTCTTTGGGGGCTAGGGCCTCTTTGGGAGAAGGAGAAGTGACAGGTGTGGGAATAGAGGCCCCTTTGGGGGCTGGGGCCTTTTTAGGAGGGAGAATAGTGTCTGGAGGAGTGGGAGTTCCTTTGGGGGCTGTGGTTGCTGGGCCCTTTTTGGGAGAGGAGATTGCTGTGGCCTCTTTGGGGGCTGCAGTTGCTGGGGCCTTTTTGGAAGAGGGAGGAGTGTCCACTGGAGGAGTGGGGATCCCTTTAAGGGATGAAGTTGTTTGGGCATCTTTGGGGGCTGTACCTGCTGGGGGTTTTCTGGGAGAGGGAGGAGTCACAACAGGAGTAATAAAGGCCTCTTTGGGAGCTGCAGTTGCTGTGGCTTTTTTGGGAGAGGGGGCTCCCTTGGAGAATGGGGTTGTAGGGGCCTCTTTGGGTGCTGCAGTTGCTGGGGCCTTTTTGGGAGAGGGAGGAGTGTCAGCTAGAGGAGTGGGGGCCCCTTTTGGGGATGGAATTGGTGACTTTTTCGGAGGAGTCATAGCTGGTGTGGTGGGGAGCCCTTTGAGTAATGGGATTGCTGAAGCCTCTTTGGAGGAAGAAGTCACAACCGTGGGAGCCAGAACCCCTTTGGTGGATGGGGTTACTGTAGCCTCTTTGGGGGCTATACTTGTCGGGGCCTTTTTTGGGGAGGGAAGAGTCTCAGCTGGGGACCCTTTGGGGGATGAGGTTGTTGGTAACTTTTTGGAGGGACTTGGTGCCGTTTTTGTTGGAGGAGTCACAGCTGAGGAAGTGGGGACCTCTTTGGGGACTGTATTTGCTGGGCCGATTTTGGGAGAGGGAGGAATCTCAGCTGGGGCCCCTTTGGGGGATGGAGATGTTGATTTTTCTGGGGAAGGTGGAGTCACAGTTGGGGAAGTAGGGACCTCTTTGGGGGCTGCAGTTGCTTGGGTCTTTTTGGGAGAGGGAGGAGTCACAGCTGGGGGAGTGGGGGCCCCTTTGGGGGACAGAGTTACTGTGGTCTCTTTGGGAGAAGGAGGAATCTCATCTGGGATCCCTTTGGAGGCTGAATTTGCTGGGGCCTTTTTGGGAGAGGGAGGCATCACAGCCAGGGGAGCGCAGATCCCTTTGGAGGATGGAGCTGCTGATGCTTTTTCTGGGGAGAGGGGAGTCACAGTTGGAGGGCTGGGAACCTCTTTTGGGGCTATATTTGCTGGGGCCTTTTTGGGAGAGGGAGGAGTCACAGCTGGTGGAATGGAGACCCCTTTGGGGGCTGTACTTGTTAGGGCTTTTTTGGGAGAGGGAGGAATCACAGCTGGGGAAGTGGGGGCCCCTTTGGGGGATGGAACTGCTGGTGTCTTTTTGGAAGAGGTGGGAGTCACAGCTGTGGGACTGGGGACCTCAGTGGGAGCTGTATTTGCTGGGGCCTTTTTGGGAGAGGGAGGAGTCTCAGCTGGAGGAGGGGGGACCCCTTTGGGGGATGGGGTTACTGTGACCTCTTTAGGGGTTGTACTTGTGGGGGCCTTTTTGGGAGAGGGAGGAGGAGTCACAGCTGGGGAAGTGGGGACCCCTTTGGGGGACAGGGTTACTGTGGCCTCTTTAGGGGCTGTATTTGCTGAGGCCTTTTTGGGAGAGGGAGGAGTCACAGCTGGGGGAGTGGGGACCTCTTTGGGGGATGGAATTGTTGGGGTCTTTTGGGTGGAGGAAGAAGTCTCTTCTGGGGTCCCTTTGGGAGATGAAATTGTTGGTGCCTTTTTTGGGGAGAGAGGAGTTACAGGTGGGGGACTGGAGACTCCTTTGGGGGATGGGGCCTTTTTTTTGTGGTGAGGAGCCTCAATGGGAGAAGGAGGAGCATCAGCTAGCAGGGCAGGGGACCCTTTGGAAGATGGAGCTGGTGTACTTTTTGGGGAAGGAGTAACAGCTGGGACAGTTGTTGCTACCTTTTTTGGGGAGGAGGGAGGAGTCTTAGCTGGGGCAGTGGGGATCCCACTGGGGGCTATGGTTACTGGATCCTTTTGGGGGGAGGTAGGAATCTCAGCTGAGGTACTGGAAGTTTCTTTGAGGGATGGGCTTGCTGTGGTGGCTTCTTTGGGGACTGTAGCTATTGGAGACTTTTTTGGGGAAGGAGGAATCTCAGCTGGGGGGTTGGGGGTTCCCTTGGGGTTTGTAGCTGCTGGGGCCTTTTTGGAGGTAGGAGCCACAGTTGGGGCAGTGGGGGTTCCTTTGGGAGATGGGCTTGCTGGGGTCTTTTGGACTGAGGAAGGAGTGACAACTGGGGGATTGGGAACTCCTTTCGGGGCCAGCGTTGCTTGTGGCTTTTTGGGAGAGGGAGAAGTCTCTGCTGGGGGAGTAGGAGTCCTTTTGGGGGATGGGTCTGCTGGGGCCTTTTTGGGGGAGGGAAGAGGCACAGTTGTAGGAGTAGGGGCCCCTTTGGGAGTGGGAGAATGCTTCTTGGTTAGTGAACCTTTAGGGCCTTGAATAGAAATATTGGCCTCTGGAAGGAAGGAAGCTTCAACTGGAGAAACAGAAGATGAGAGATTTCCAGCAAGATCATCAGGGATAGGAGAACCCTTCTTGATTAGAGGTCTTTTAGTCTGAGGAGACATACCAGTCCCTAAAGGAGATGCAGAGTCAGTTATAGAAGTCATGCTTCCTTTGGAAGATGTAGAATCAGTGAGGTCCTCATTTGGGCACACAGGAGAGGAAACTAAAGGTGCCAATGATGAGGTCTGAGAAATACCATCAACTATATCTGCACTGGACAGAGCAATCCCAGCTGGGGAAAGAGGGGGAAAGGGCACGGACTTAGGAATTTCAGGAGTCAGCGTCAATGCTACTGTAGAAACAGAAACATTCTGAGGGGATAAAGTCATAGCTGGAGCCACAGGGCAACTTTCAGAAGCTGGAGAAACCAAAGGTAAAGTAGTAAGAGTACAGGTATCTTTGGCAGTTGTAGAAGCCACCCCCATATGGTCAGCACTTCCCAAAGGAAACGTAGCCACTGCTGGAGCAGTGATAGAACTTTTGAGAAGCAGACTATCAGGGTCTGGGATTGTATAAGGATCTGTCTTGACTACAGAGGTCGAGGAGTTAACATCCAGAGAAGAGGCAATAGCACTGGCTGCCTTAGCTACAGGGAGAGGCTCCACACAGCTTTTCTTTGCTATAGTGGTTTCAGGAGAAATTATCTCCAAAGATGATGTACTTTGGGAGGAATTCTGGGGCGATGAGAGGGCCAAAGGTAATGAAGTGGGGCTTTCCTTGGTAGGGAGTCCTGTCTGGGTGGGAGATATAGGAGCTGGCAAAGGACAGACTGGTATGCTCAGAGTAGTTACTATCTGAGAAGTAGGAAGCTCTTTTTGAGCCACAGGTGACATAACCAAGGCAGTAAGGGAAGTTGGTTCTTTACTACTTATGAGACCTGATGAAATTGGAGGAGGCACAGAAGTAGGTACCTCAAAGGTAGTAGGTGCTGCAGAAATCATAGAGGGGTTAGTCATCAGAAGTGGGGTGGTTCCAACAGAAGAGACAGAAGTTTCTTTAAAGTCTGTTCCTGGAGAAGCAAGAATTTGAGTCCCCAGAGGCTGATAAGTGGCATTAGGAGACTCTTTAAGACCGAGCAAGGCCGTAGGAGATAATGAAGTAGTGGTAGTTACAATTGGGGAGCCAGAAGGGTAGGAGGTTATGTCAGTCACTGTAGAGGGGCCTTTGTCAACAGACAGAGCCAGAGAAGAACCTGGAGACCTTATTGGAAGAGCAGCCACAGTACCAGTAACCAGCTCATTTCCCGAAGGAAGGGGAGAAATCACAGATCTCTGAGATGGATAAGAGGTCCCCAAGGAAGAATGATCTACAGAAATGGTATTCACTGCAGGATTTGACAGTGTACTAGGAGCTGCTTGACCTAAAGGTTGGATAGAAGAACCCTGATGTAAAGATGTAAGATGAGAACCCAGAGAACTAGGGAAAACTGGTGGGATGCTAAGAGCCACAGTTTGAGAAGAGGTCACTGCAGGAGTAGACTGGGTTGAAAAAGATAAGGTAGAAGGTGAACTAACAGGCCCCTTCAGGCTGAAGCTTAATGGATTTTGTGGGATCAGAGCTGAGGAAATGGGGATACTTTTAATCTGAGAAGTAATGGCTGGGGGAGTAATGCATGGTGTCAGAGCACAGGAGGTTACCCCAGATTGAACAGAGGCCAAGGGATTTCCAACATGGGAAGGAACAGCACTGATTGTACCTGGAGGACCTGAACTTGGAGTAGTAGCTTTCGGATTAGGGAGTACCTGAGAGGGAACCTGAATAGGAGAGGGTTTTGGTTCTGAGGGAGTAATGGGAGCTGGTAGAGATGTCACTGACCCTGACTCAGCCATAGCAACTGATGGAGGTGAGGCAACAGGGTTAGGTGGAAAAGCAGAACTCTTCTGAACTGAGTGGGGAGCCAATGCAACAAGGGCCAAGGGAGCTGAAGAGGAATGGGCACCTTTCAGAGTTGGCCCTATCATGGGAGAGGCCAGAGCTAAGGCAGCTGGGGAGATGGGAGGCCCTATTAGGTGCGGTAGGAAAGTTGGGGTGTTAGGGAGAGTTTCCAAAGGCATGGCAGTTCCAGAGGATGGCTGGGGAAAAGGAGCTTCAAAGGGGGCTGAAGCAATACTAGAGGGAGAAGGAAATGGGGAAGGCTGGTTAGCAACTGCTAGAGGGCACTGTTGGGGGGCCAGGGAGCAAGGAGGGGTAAGGGTAGGTCTAGACTGCCCTAAGGCAGCAGTGACATTCAAGGCTGAAGGCATAGGAAGCACAGCTGGAGGAGAAAAGCAAAAAAAAAAAAAAAAAAAAAAAAAAAAAGGAGGAAAAGAAAAAAAAAAGAGGAGGAAAAGAAAAAAAAAAGTGAGTTATGCAGGCCAATTTGGTACAACATGCCTCACAGGAAACAATGGAATTTTAAATCTGAGAATGAAAGTCACCACACAGGATTAGACAACAGTGACAAGCAACACCCAAAGTTCCCCAAACATTTCAGTGGTAAAGTGAGAACACATTCTTCCACACATTCTAAGTTCTACCAAAATAAACCAAAAATTTCAGAATGGGGAAAATAGTTAAAAGTTAAACACAAAGAACAGAGGCTCAGGAATGGATTGGGAACAATATACTTTCTATCCTTTCCCAGTTGTGCCTTTCCCTTTTCTCCTGAAATGGGACCTCATTCCCAAGTCTTTAAGCCAACAGAATTATCACTAGAACTCAAGGATCGTGAACTGAAACACTGAAAACTGGAATAAGGATGACAATAGGCAGACAGTTTAATGATGGGGAATCAGCTGAATGAGAAAAAGTCTTAAAAACAAACAACAACAACAAAAAACCCTCTGAAGTTTCCACTAGGCCATGACAAACATCACTGTTTTCTTAGGAAGAGGGAGCTTCGCATAATTCAGTTCTATTGAAGTTGAAACTCTTCAGCCCCTTACCCCCTTATGTCTTAGTTTACTTAGCAAAACCAGAAAGAAAGCAAACAAAGACATCCAGCCACAAATAGGTTGCACTTCCTATTCTACCCTTCCTCAGTAATGTTAGGCTCTTTAGACATCATTACAAGATGAACTAGACCTTCAGGGAGACAGCTTAGTCACTAGGGTAGGGACTGTATTATGAAATTCTAACCCAACTTGTTAAACCAGACTGTGGTTCTATTTTGGAAGGAGAGCTGTAGAGTGAAAATAATATAACAGACCCTAACTCTTGATCTGAGTAAGTATTTTTATTCTGTCTGGTCTATTTTGTCAAAATACACCAATATTTCACACTATGGTAAAACTGAGAGGTTTTGTAGAGGGAAAAAAAATACCATATATGTAATTTAGAAAATAACATCAAATTAGATCAACAAATGCTCAATGCCCAAAAGGGATTGTTAAAGGGGGCAGGGAGAGGTTGGGTGCGGTGGCCCATGCCTCTGTAATCCCATGGCTTGGGAGGCTGAGACAGCAGGATCATGAGTTCAAAGCCAGCCTCAGCAATGGAGAGGCGCTAACCAACTCAGTGAAACTCTGTCTCTAAATACAAAACAGGGCAGGGGACATGGCTCAGTGGTTGAATGCTCAGGAATTCAATCTCTAGTACCTGCCCCAAAGAGGGGGAGGACAGTCCATAGCATCCAAATTCACAACTCAACCAAATAATCTTCTTAGTTCTTATAGTATTTGACTATATAAAGTCAAGTGGCTCAGGAGAATTGGTAATCAAAGTCTTATGATTACAGTACATATACTTTTTTAAAAAAAAACTCTTTTAAGAGCGAGAATTTTAATATTTATTTTTTAGTTTTCGGCAGACACAACATCTTTGTATGTGGTGCTGAGGATTGAACCCGGGCCGAACGCATGCCAGGCAAGCACGCTACCGCTTGAGCCACATCCCCAACCCCCAGTACATATACTTTCAAACACGTTAACAAGAATTTAAAACATGGAATATGTTTTCTTCTTACTGGATCTCAAGATGGGATAAGACCCAAATAACTTGCTTTGCCATCATAACCAATTTCCTGTGTTAGCTTTTTCATTTATTCTAATAGATGAAATTCTGGTAATTTATCACAGGTACTCAATATTATACACTTTCTGTACTCAGACTAATCAGAATGTTTAGCAGCACTAAGGATTATTTCAGAAATCAAGTTCTGTAGTTTGGAATTATATTATTCTAATTTTATCCAAATTTCAGTCTCCATATTTGAAAAATTAAGTGGTACAATGAGATTGAGATAATGTCTAAAAGTCTTGTTTAGCGCTGAAACCACAGAATCTTTAAAGACCAGTCTTTCATCATCCCATTTCATAAATTTCTTGTAGCTAAAGCATTTCCTATTGCTCATTCCGTACTGAGGGCCCCCCTCCTTATTCTTCTCTAGCAGCTGTATTAATCCCTTCAGCTGCTAAAATCAGACAGGTGGGGAGAAAGAACCGCAATGTTTTCAACTGTAAACAACTTTAACTCCAAAAAAGGTGAAAGAAATCGCCCTTGAAATTTACAAAAAACATAGGATAGAGATTATAACCTAAGATTCCCTTCATTTAGTTTGCACAACTGACCCAACAACACTATCATTTTACATCTTTCCATTGCCCCAGTTTTCTAGAGAGGTGTTTCAACCAGAATTAAAAACTTGCCTTCACACTAGATTTTACACCCATTAATTTCAATGATGAAGATCAAAGGGAGCATTTATTTCAATGTTGGGTTCCAGACAATGGCCCAAGCACTATTTCGGCATTCAACAAATATCTCAGCATCAACCCTTAAAACAAGTTAAACCAACCTAGGACTCTGGGGCTCGGTAGGACACATTTACCACCAGCACATACCTCATCAGACATGTGATAAAGGCACAATGCCAAGCTCTGCTATCTAAAACCTTGATGCAACTTGCTGGCTGGGACTTCACAAAAGCTCAGGTCTCCTTGGGCGGCCTGTGTGTCATCCAGTTCTAATAGTAAGATTCACTGATCCCCCCCCTCCCCACTCAATCTTCCCAGGAGGTGGCAGTTGCAATTCACAAAGCAGTTAGTGAATGTGAACATTCACAAATCTTGATACAATTTTTATTCCTGCTCCCTAAATAAGTCCCTCCAAAATAACAAGTTTTCCTTTCTGGTAAAGCTACAAAACCATCGTAGCAAATTAGGTAGAGATATACTCTTCTTTGTCACTTTACTCACCAAATGGTGTTAAGAGTCTATCTTAATTAACAGCAACGAAACTATAGGAACCTACCTGTCTCAGCTTGGGGCTGTGGCAACTCCTGCTCTGTAGCAGGGACGGTTTCCGTGGCTTCACCCGGCATTTCTGAAGGAAGGGAATAAAAAGGAGGCCTGAATTGACAGGGGTGCACTTGCCCAACTCAGAATCAACTATTAATAACTCAACGGAGGATTGTTAAATGGGGGAAAAAAGTCATGAAAATGTCTGAGGACTGCCCTTCCCAAAGTTACTAAGAATAGGTGGGAAAAGTGACCCTCAGATATCTATAAAAGGAATCACCTGAGTACGCTCCGCAGAAAGTAGACTTCCCAGTGCTTAGGGTTCGTTGTATTCCACACTCTTGATCCCACAAGACCAGGAATCACCTTTGCATTCTCAACCCGAGAGAGAGGATCCGGTCTGACTCCCAACCGTTTAAAACCTCTGACGTACTTTGAGCCCCCTCCCCTTTAACATTTACGCAACCTGGGCTCGGGGCCCCCAGGTCTTCTGAGAGCCGGGAGACGAAAGAGGACGCCTTGGGTCCCAACACTCCCCTTCTCACAATAAGAACGGTGTTTAGGGTTCTGAGGCTGTGACCCCTTAACCTCCTCTGGATTTCTGCGAAGCCGTTCCCAACAGACCCACACAGCTTTTGCCCCCAAGACTACAGTGACTCTTATATCCCCTCCATACCCGGGTTCTGGGCCTGGCCCGTAGGACCCTTATGCCCCTTTTTTGCCAGGACACCAACTACAGACCCCCTTTTCTCCGGATACCCAGCGACTAGTAGGAACCCTGTAACTGTACAAAGACGTCAACTCTCCTCAACTCTGAATCCCCCGGGCGGTTCAACCCGCGAGAAAGGAGGATGGCGGCGGATGGAGTAGCGGCGCAGACAGCACTTACTGTGCGGAGAACGCGAGACCAAGATGGCGGCAGAAAGAGAGCGAGCAAGAGCGTGACCCACGCCTGTTGCAGAAGGAAGCCTGGCGCGGAGGGGGCGGGGCCACGATCCGATTCCGGGTCAGGAGCTGTTGGAAGCCACTTCCTTTATCCAATGACCCTGAGGGCTGTTTCTAGGGCGGGGGTGGTGATGAGTTCTAAATAAGGGTAAGAATTTAGAACCCGACACACTGGCCTGGCTGGAGCAGTCCTCGTGGAGCGAGGCAGCCCTCAAACATCCCGCCCCTTCCTTTCCAGCGAGCATGTTTGCTTCCCGAAGGGAAACCATAGAGAAGCTCCGCCTACGGGTCCGCAAAGTAGCAACAGCTGTTTTAAGATTTCCCCTACTCAGAAGCAGGGAAACGCGACATTAATTAATAGCGAACTCCAAAGATTGTATTGTCACCATTGTAAAGTAGAAATGACATAAGTTAAATCTCAATTATTTTATTTTTGAAATAGACGATTTGGGACGATGTTGACGTCCGATTCCTCTCCCCGGCGCAGCGGGGATTATAGGCATATACACAATTCTTTTTGCTTATTTTAGGCACTTCTTAAATAATTCTGAAACTCGTCCATTCTAAAGGACCGGGATCCCATGTTAAGAATCCGTGCTCTGTACAGGGTTCTTGAGAAGTAGAATGTAAAACCAGTGTTTTGTTAATGAAAAGAGAACTCCATACTATTTTCTAAGCTCTAAAAAAGGACAAACCAAACACAAACCTGAATTATCCAAATCAGCTAACACTATTTGGTATAATGGCTTGAATACGATTATGGCTGACTTAATTTTAAGAGAAGCAGTGAGAATTTAAAATGGGGGAAGAGGAAGCGGGCGACCACTTTTCCTTCTGAGCCGAGTTGTGCACACCTGTAATCCCAGCGAGGCAGGACAATCAGAAAAAACTGGAGGCCAGCATGGGCAATTTGAGAGACCCTGTCTCAAAATAGGATTAGAATGTGGTTGGGTGGTAGAGCGCCCCTAGGTTCAATCTGAGATTATTGGGCACAGTGGCACAAAAACCAAGGGGGAAAACAAAAGTCGTGTATATGCCTATAATCTCCCCACCCCCAGGAACCTAATTTCAACATCGTCCTGAAAATAATTGGGATT